AAAGGCGCAGAGGCTGTGCAGGGGTTAAACTCGTGACCAATGTACTGTGGCTTTTGGTCCCAGCCTGTTGACCTCTACTCAAAGTCTCACCCTTCTCTCTAATCCCACTTCCTTTCTGCCTATTTCCAAAATAATAAAATAAAGGCCAATAGAGTCTGAAAAAATTATATGAATAAAAAAAGCGATGATAAAAATAATTTCTCTACATCACCACAGTTTTCCAAAACATCTGTAAGTGCATTCATAGAGCATTTGGTAGTCCAACTTGATGACACACAACTGTTTTTTATGGTGCTATCTAGAGATGTCCCGATCCAGGTCTTTGCACTTCCGATCCGATACCGATATTGTTTTTGGACTTCCGATCCGATACCGATACTGGCCGATACCAGCCTATCCGAGCATGTATTTAAGTTTAAGTTAAAGTATTTAGCCTTAGTTGTAAGACTCATGTTGAAAAGGGTTTTAGTACTCTTGATAACATCTAGCCAGCTGAATTAGGTGAGATTGAATAAAACACAATGCTTGGTAACAACAAACTTTCCTGTTTATTAAGAGATAAACACAAACTGGACAAAATTATGAATAGCAATCTGAAATTGCACAGTGAGCAGTAAAACCGTAAACAGTTAAAGGTGCAGTTAAATTTTTTTGCCAATATCGGCGTCCCGATCCGATACGTGGATCGGATCGGGACAAGCCATCTATTGCTTCTCTCACTGAACAAAAATATAGAGCTTTTGGTAGTCCAACTTGATGACACAAAACTGTTTTTTATGGTGCTATCTATTGCTTCTCTCACTGAACAAAAATATAAAATAATAAATCCTCCAATACATTTATTATTTGTTTGTTTTTGGGTGATGTAAAGTTGTTCATGTTGAGTTTACCTTTATCACAATAAATCCAAATGTCACATTAACAATGAACCGTACAATAAATGCCAAATTAAATAAATGCACCTCTTCCAAATTGTAGGTGACCGCAGACAGTGCCGCAGAGAGGAGGCATCTGATTGGTCAAATCTACATCAGCTCTACACTATGCACATTTCCTGTTTGGTACCTTAACGGCTTATTTTGTTCGTTTCGATTGCGGAAAATGACTCGTGAAGATGGACCAGCTAGAAGAGTGAGGTGCGTGAGATCACTGGGTCCCTTTTTCCACCAGGATCCCCGCTCTTTTTCGCCCTCAAGTCCCTCCGTTGTCACACAAACTTTCCCCTACTTCCTCACCACCTCGGCTGTATCGAGACCCAAGCTAATTTGTGAATGCCCCTCTTGTGTTGTGGCATGGAATATTCAGTATTGGGCATAAGTCAAAAATATCTGTACCAAGCTCAATGCGACACGCCGCTGCGGGAGTGTAACCACCCCTTTAGAGGGCGAGACAGATCAAGACTTCAGTGTAGAATGCTGGCAAGTTTTCAGGAATCGGTTTTGCTAATGCTATCCACACTTTCGTGAAGATTCTCAGTCATCCAGGTCATAGTAATTCCAAAAAAGTTAGAAAACAAACCACTGGACGTTTCGCTTCCCATCCAGGAAGCTGTTTCAATTAAAAATGTCTGGATTAGCTCAGAATTCAAAGCTTCATGTGAAAGCTTAATGTTGGGTTACTCTATATAGATTTTTTTTTGGAATAATTTCTAACATTAAATGCTACATTTAGAGGAGATTTCTGCAAGTTTAGGTCCTCCCAGCCAGTAAATGAAACACACACTTCCAAGCTTGTCCCAAGCTTTAATTGTACTCTTTGCCTGCCTGTTGCCAGGTCCGCTAATGCTACTGAGCTCTATCTCACATGGCTTCAACCTGCTACTCCTATTGGTGCAGAAACCTCTCATGTTGGCTTTGGCATTGTAACCCTACTTGCATATTTTGGACCCCTAAAAATGACCTTTTTTTCCTCTGTAAAAGTAATATATGCTAATTCATTACATCTCAAGACATTTTGTAGATGAATTATGTTTGAAAAATTCATTGTTTTGAAAAAGTTGGCTATGATCTTAAAACTGGTCTCTTGCCTTTATGCTAAAACATTAGCATAATTGCATCACGTGTTACAGTTGCTGCTTTTTCTTTACATAGATGAGCCACAGCTCCAGCTGTCTGACCAAACTTATTTCTATCTGATGGTTTTCTTGCAAAAAATGGCTCCTTTGCTGCCATTGTTGAAAAGTGTCCATTTTTTTCCCAGAACAGACAAACTTCTACTGAGCACTGTTGCCATTGTTGGCCAAGCTCTGCACTGGTGGTAAATGATTCTAAAAAACAAACGTTCTGCTGCTTCTTAAGCTTTCTTGGATGTTCCTAAAGTTAGATAATTACTTGAACTAGGGAATAGATTAAAAATAAATAAATAAATAAGGCAGCTGGTTATTCAAAAATTAATGATCCACAAATGATGCCCACTATCATTACAATAACTGAAGCCATAGAAGCTGAAAAATACAAAGAAGGTATTACCAAAACCTGTTGACTGAGAAGGATGATGTGTATCATTCAGAAAGAAATAAAACATCAATAGAAAAATTAGATGAATTGTGTTTCAGTATCAGAACCAAACATTCAGGTCTGTTAGATGTTTAATAAACCAGTTGCCAGAGTTGGATCAGCCTCTTTCTGCCGATATGCTGTGGGAATAAACAAGCAATAGGTTAGCCTTAGTCAGAGCTGAGGGAACGTGTGTCACTGAGTCAGTGGGTCCAGCACCCGGTTTGTTTACATGTTGGCTGGCAGCACATGATACTGACTGTGTCCGCCCCTCAGTCCCAGCATCAGGCTCCCTCTCATCAGAGGTATAGACTTCATCAATAGGCCGTTTGTTTGGCTAGCAGAGGATCCAACTCTGCGCCGGTCATGAGTTGTAGGGTGACGAAGGGACGAGTTTGGTTTAATCTACTGCAGACTGACGTAGGCAGGGACGTTTTGTCTCAGCAGCTGCTTTCATCAACTAGGCTGATCCACTTACTGTTGTTTTTTGTTTTTTTAATAAGATAATGTGAACACAGGTTGATTAGATTAGTTACTACTAAAACAATGTTCTGTAATTTGACCATGTTAACTCATTGGGTAGCTGAATACTTTAGAAATGATCCATTCTAACAAACCTTCTGGTCCAACACTTATTGGTATCCCTGTTGCGAATACATTTCATAACACAAAGAAATGCTGTTATTTTGTGCTCTAAAGCAGTTAATTTCCCCTGGTTTATGTAACTGGTACCAATAAGAGGACCTTTTGGTTACAGATGAGTTGTATTTTCCAGAACAGCATGCTACAAAGTTTTGACTGCAAGGCTTCCTACACAGTTTGGAAGATATATATATATATATTAGGGGTGGAACGGTTCACAAAATCCACGTTCGGTTCGGTTCACGGTTTCTTGGTCACGGTTTTCGGTTCGGTTCGATTCGGTATATGTTGATTGTTACACCGAAATCCCATAAAAATGTATGAAATTAATGAAAAAATCCCCCAAAAAATAATGGATTGTAATTATTTTAAATGATCCGCGGAAACCCTGGATCATTTCCGTATGTTTTGCTGCTTTGAATTTAATCATTTCGTGCATGCTCTCTACCATCTCCAAGGGACTCAGAGGGGAGCGGACGGGAGCCACAGTGGAGGCTTTGCTTTGAGCAGCCGGTCAAAGCAGGGCGCAGCGGGGGTTGCTGATGGAGTATGAGGGATTTCGGGGTTACCATGACATGTTGGTCATGTTGCTGTTAGCATAAACAAAACCTGTTGCACAATGCTTGCACACTGTTGCACTTTTATCCACAACTTTCTTTCCACCGTCATCGTAGGTCACTCTAAATGCAAAGCGTTCCCATACAGCAGACCTATAAAGTGCTGCTGGCGCGTCTTCCAACTCCTGTTCTTTCCCACTCGCCATACCCACACAGTTCTCCATAACAACTGATTTTTTTCCCTGCTACACCCGGCTACGCTGCTTCGATTCTTCTTCTTCTTGTTTTTCTTGCTTTGGTCGCAGTACCGCCACCTTCTGCTCGGGGAGTGTAAACGCTTCGCCTATGAGAAAAAGGAGCAGCGCATGAACTGAACGAAAAACACGCGAACCGAGACAGTTGAACTGAACGGTTCGGACGGTTTTCATAAATCGTCCTATATATATATATATATGTATAGTCTAGGTTTTGTGTCCTTCCTTCTGTCCTTTGTTTTGTCTTTCCTTTTTCACCTTTCTTTCGTCCTTCCATGTTACCTTAATTCTATCCTTCATTGTGTGTATCCTACCTCCATTGTTAGCTCCTGTACCTACCTTCCATCCTATCCTCCTTGTGGTCATCATTGCTTCCTTCCTTTCATGTTACCTAGGACCTTCTTTACTCCTTTTGCCTTCCTTCCTTCCTTCCTTCCTTCCTTCCTTCCTTCCTTCCTTCCTTCCTTCCTTCCTTCCTTCCTTCCTTCCTTCCTTCCTTCCTTCCTTCCTTCCTTCCTTCCTTCCTTCCTTCCTTCCTGTCTGTGCTCAAATTGAAGGTTGAATTTTCCTAAAGTTTTCAGTGAGTGATAATGTTGCTGAAAATAAAAACACATGAGCAATACTTTGTTAGCTCTCTTTCACCCGCAGTTGAACAACTGTAACTTGGTCTGTATTTATATCAGCAGGATGCATTTCTTGATCAGCTAATACTCATAATAATAACAATCATTTTAGCATCACTGGATTAGCCGCCCGTTAAGCCAAGAGCCTCCTGGATTTTAAATGCCAGACCAATTACTGGTCGGATTGTTTACTTCTAAAACGATTTAACACTGTGTTTTGTGACATTTCTGCAGCACTTGTTGTCATGGCATTTCACTCACCCATTCTGGGTTGTAAACGTTGAAGCCTTGAAATATAGTGTTATTGATGTTCTTGTGGAGTATTTTTCTCTGTTGAGGTTGAAATCATTTCAACCTACGAAATCAAACCAGTTGTGTTGTGGGTGTTGGTATGTATTGGTAATTTGTTGTGTGTTTTTGTGTCGACAGACGAATCCCACCCTGAAGAGCCAAAAGGAGATGTGTCGAGCCAGAAAGCAGGTAGCAAACACACACACACAAACAAACACGATATTTTCCTGCTTCATTTCACCGTCTTGTCTGGGGATGCTTGATACACGTATGTTCTAGATGGTGAAAGTCAAACATGTCATACCCACCCGTGTGCAAACAGTGTTAATAATTCACAGTGACAGGTCATTGTCATCTGAATCCCTCACATCTCCTCGATGTTGTCGCTCCTCCCTTCCCTCCCTCAGCGATCTTGGGAAGACAAATGGCTCCCTGCATTAAGCGGCCATCTTCCTAGCAACCAGCTCATATGGACTATTCGGCCATCTGCTCTGCTGTAATTTATTAACTTAGCCCTCCATTCCTTTAAGCCTCTCATTTTCTTTCTGGTAACACTTGTTTAGTATCACAATAGAGCTCAGGTCTATCTTTGTTTTCCAATGTGATTTTTTCTGTTACAAAATTTCTCCAATCAACTTGATTTCTTTACATTTATTTCTCCTCCATTCATCAGTAGGATGTTTTAAAAATATTTTCCAGACAGATTTTTGCTCTGGAAAGAAAAGAAAGGCAACAAACTGCTGACATTCATTTGAGATAATAAGCATTGTTGCAGCCTTGGGAGGAGAGAGAGGAAAAGCTTAAACCCAAGATCCAAAGGAGGACAATGAGTTGGCAGGTTGCTCTAAAGCCTCAGGGACTTCCAGGAGCGAGCCACACAGAAGGAAGGGGACCATATGAAGGCATCCGTTTGGTTTGATTTCACAGAGCCTTCAGTAATCTGCGTTTTTTATGTCTAATCAAGAGGACAAGTGCAGGTTTTTACAGTATTTTGTTAAAATATCAGTACCTAGTTCACTTTGACCACACATTAGAACCTCAAATATCACTGCATTGCATTTAATTGATATGAGGGAAAAACAAAAAGTAGTGAATAATTGCCAGCTAACAGGATGAAGGGTTTTAAAACAATTTTACAGTAAAAACAAGTTGAAAATTGTATGCATTTTTTTTCCTTCTCCATTTAAGTCGATCATTAATAGAAGCAAGTTTGGGCTGTTCTTACAGAAATGTCCCATTCAGCTTCATATATCCACCAATACTTTTCGTCATTCTCTTAGAAATAGCTCAAGGTCAGTCAGATTGGATAGAAAAAACCAATTTCTTTTCCATTTTTCCGCAAGTTCTACATTGATTTTAGGTCTGGAATTTGACTAGGCCATTATAGCACATTAGTCTACTTTAGTCGCTTTGATTAGGATTGTTCTACTGGAAAGTGAATTGCTGTCTGTCCTCATTGCTGCTGGAGCATACCTTCCCCACAGCATGATTCTACCACCATCTTGTATCCACATTGCTTTGGGGTTTCTCTGGGTCTACATTTTAATGACTAAAGGAAGGCCTTATTTGACCACAACACCTTCTTTGCTTCTTGTCTCCCTCATGTGGCTTGTTTCAAACTGCAATTAGGATGTCTTACCATTTCCCTTCTATAAAGGGGAGGATTGTGTCATCCACAACCAGATTTTATAATGGGACTCATGGCCACTTCTCTCATTCACATGTTCTTGGCCTGGCCTCTGATTTTAGGTCGACAGACATGTCTTGCTACATTTGGAACTGTGCCGTGCTCCCTTCATTTTCAGATGACTGATTATACAGAAAATTGTGAGATTTTTGTAGCTTGGGGGAAATTTCTCCCCAAATTCCAGTCTTACCCATCTATTGGTTCTTCCACTTCATGAAGCTATTAGTATAATAGCATTTTCAGACAAATCCCAAAAGGCTTTGGAACAATTAACTGACAAATTGAAGTAGTTTCTTGATTAACTGTGAAGGATAATCTGCAGTTACAGGTTGGCTCTTATGCACCTGAAGACATGACTGTGAATGTCCTAAAGTAAAACTTTGTTTTATATAGCATAATTAATACTTTGAGTTGGTCATTTACATATTCAATTCAATTTCAATTCAGTTTATTTCTATAGTGGCAATTCACAACACATGTCATCTCAAGGCAGTTGATTGCATCGACTCATTGACTCGAATGCAATCCCTCACACCAAGCATGCTTGTAGTGACAGTGGAGAGGAAAAGGTCCCTTTTAACAGGAAGAAACCTCCAGCAGAACCAGGCTTAGTGTGAGCGGCCATCTTTTAAGGAGACTGAAGCAGAGATACAAAAAGAGGCTGTAAAAGGCGGCCCCATCCAGGAAACATGCAGCCAGAAAGACAAGCTCTGAGCCACCTCCAACATCAGAGGATGAAGAGAGCACACCCACCCAGTCAGAGTCAGAGAAACAGGACTAAACTGGAAAAACAGACCGAACTCGAACATATATAACAAAGGTGTTGATGGCAGCAGCACAGCTGATATTTGTCCAGGATGGAGTTACAGCCAAACAGGAACAGACGAGGCGAAGCTACTATGAGAAAAAGCAGAGAGAGCATAACGTTAGAGATTGAACTAATAGATTCTGCAGGTTTGGTGAATAGAGATAGAATGATGGAATAGGGATCCCTTTGTCCTCCAGAAGACTAAGCCTATAGCAGCATAACTATAGAGATAGCTCAGGGTAACATGAGCCACTCTAACTATGAGCTTTATCAAAAAGGAAAGTTTTAAGCTTTAAACCTAATACCCTTAAAGGTAGACAGGGTGCCTGCCTCAGTGACTAAAACTGGTAGTTGGTTCCACAGGAGAGGAGTCTGATAACTAAAAGATCTGCCTCCCATTCTACTTTTAGAAATTCTAGGAACCACTAGTAAACCTGCAGTTAGACAGCGAAACATAAGGAACATTCATATCTCTGATATAAGACAGAGCTTGGTCATTTAAGGATTTATATGTGAGAAGGATATATGGTGGTAGGACATATGATGATTTCATTAAAGATAGTTTGTTGCTTTTGATCTGAATGATTTTGTGAGATGTTAAAGGGTATGAAAATGTCTGTCAGCACTTCATATAATGCTTTTAAAGACTTAAGGCCTCAATTGAGGCTGGATGTCATCACCGTTTGGCTGCTTTTACTAGTTGGACAGAAAGGAAAAGGCTTCTGCTGCCAAGTTCAAATCTCCAGCTCTTAACTGAAGGATGCAGGCATGCAGACTCTCCTCTAGATGGCACTTTTCAGCAGAATGATAACAGAAAACCTTCAGCAGTTCGACCCGCAAGTGGCTTCTGACGGCGAACGCTGATAAAGTCGTTTATAAAAATCATCCTTTTTTGTGTAGCCTCACCCAGGGGGCTCAGCAAGTCCTAAGATAAACGTCAGTGTTAAGAAATTTCAGTCGATGAGTGGCAAACAAAGCCTCCTTCGCCGTCTGCTCACGGCTCATCAAACAGAGGTGGCTGCAAAGGACCCCGGATAAATGAACTCCTGGCACCGATAACAAGCAGTCTTTCTCTTCTGTCTCTTTTCCACCGTCTCCCCCTCCACCCGCTCTCCTGCTGTGTTTGGGTCGCTGGGGTAACCCTGGCCTGTTTCTCGCTCGGTTAGACTACCCTGCTATTAGAGGTCTGGGTAGATGAAGAGAACAGAAAGGGAGGCAGGCGAAAAGGAAGATGGTGAGCCGTCACTCTTGATTTCTTCCAGTCCAAAAGTTAAAACTAGAGACAAAAAGGAGAAACTGTAGCAGTAAATATGTTTTAGAGAAGAGCATCGCATAAACAAAAGATAATCTAATTGAAAGTTTGTAGAGCAGCCTCAGAAATTTAAAGAGACAGTAACACTTAAATCTGTCTGAAGACAGTCATCGGTTAAATATTTCTGACAAGGGATCTGTTACGACCTTAAACCCAGCCAAAGATCTAGCCACACATCCCCTAACCCAACCAGCAGACCCTAATTAGATGTTCCTTCCTTTGACTGGTCACTCATGTACAGGGGCATAACCAGCGCCAGCTGGAGCCACAGTGAAGGTGTTGTTACTGTGCCACAGCTGTGGGTGATAAGTTCGTTTTGCCTCTGCGGAGTGCAGTAACACAACGGGTGCATTAACCAATCAGAGCCTCCTTATTAGGCCAGAGAAGTGGAGCAGGAGCTGTCAGAGGTAAAGTGGACTAATGGTAGCTAAGGCAGGGTGAGAAAAGTGAGTCAGGGCTAGGATGTGGTATTATAATGGAGGTAATGTTTTAACAATCGTGGGCTGTACAATACACGTGGTATGTGATTTGTTTTCATGCAGTGGCTGCTTTGAGCTGTGGTGTAAAACCCTCTTAAAATCTCAAAGTCAAATATGAAGACACTGTAAAGAATTACATTTTCTGCTTTTGGATTCTAAACAAGTTTTAAGAATAGCTTAAAAATGTAAAAAGAAGAAATGAGCAAAAGGCTAAATACATTTTGTAGACAGTTTATTTAAAACTGTAATTAACCTTGGAGTAAATTTATTAGGTGGTCATTTCTTCAAAACTATATCAACAAAGAGTCAAAATCTGCACATAAATCTTAACTTTCCTAAATTTTATGGTTTCTACAAGAAATCTAAGTGATAGATGTAAAAACCTTCAGTTGTGTCATATGTTGTATACAGGTATATTCTTGGCCCAGTTGAGGACCCTAATGGTGTAGACTGAAGGCAAAAAAGCACAAAATAACAGCAGTATAGTATATCATGCAGTTATTGCAATATTCTAAAGTAATTTTTGGAGTTCAACGATCATTGGCTGCTGTATAACCAGTTTTACATTTCATTTACAAAATTTATCTTGCTGCATAAAATCTCAGAAGGTCACACTGGACAAAAGAATGACATTACAGAAAAGGTCATAGTCCGAAAGGGTAACAAGCACAGGTGAAAAAAAGACAAAAGAAAAAAATGGTCATATATTACACCTAATATCGCCATTATAGAAGTTCCTAATGTCATGCACTGCTACATAATAGGGCAATTTAAAGGAAAGGCCTACAAAAAACAAAGGGAGTTTTATCATCTCAAGGGTTTGGACTTTGCAAGGCAGCTTGAAACGTGAAACAATGAAAGATGGACCTCTTTATGGTGCCATGATACCACATCACACAAACC